CGGCTCTTCCAGCAGGTGCGGGACCACTTCAGCTTCGAGACCTGTGGCAATGAGACCTTCCCACAGCGGTACCTGGTCTCAGGTAGGTCCCAGGGGGTGCGCTGTGGCCGAACTGCTCCCAGCTCCAGCACGGCCGTGGCCGGGGAAGGCTGTGGCTCAGGACTGGGCTGCTGTCTGCTGAAGCCTTAACCGCTCCTGCATGGAGGCAGAGAGCCTCTCTGGTGCTCGGGGAGCTGTGCTGAGCAGCCAGGAGTCAGCTTGAGCTGAGTGCCAGCCCTTCGTGAGCCAGTTTGCCCTGGCATTGTCCATGTTCTCCTTTCCTTCCCTTCAGTTTGTCGTTCTGGCCATGGGGTGTGGGGTCCAGGTGTGGGGATTGGCCTCTCCGGAGCAAGAGCAGATTGGAAGCAGCAGCTGCATGAGGGTTGCACTGGGGCTGGCTGTGTGCATGTGTGTCTTCAGTTGACCACAGCATCTCTTACAAGTGTAGCTCAGTGTTTTGAATGCAGCAGGAAGAACAAAGAGCGACCCAAACCTTGCACTCTGTACCTGTTGTTCTAACGAGTGAAAACAGCTCCTCTTGGGGCAGCGTTTTGCCTTATTTAAAACGCTGCGACTTTAGATAGCTTAAGCTGTGCTAACAATGAGAAGCTCACTATGAGCCGGCACCATGTGCTGGCAGCCCAGAAAGCCAACCATGTCCTGGGCTGCACCCAAAGCAGCGTGGGCAGCAGGGCGAGGGAGGGGATTCTGCCCCTCTGCTCTGCTCTCGTGAGACCCCCCCCCTGCAGTGCTGCGTTCAGCTCTGGAGTCCCCAACACAAGAAGGACATGGAGCTGCTGAAGTGGGTCCAGAGGAGGCCACAAAGATGATCCAAGGGCTGGAGCACCTCTGCTGTGGAGACAGGCTGAGGGAGTCGGGGCTGTTCAGCCTGGAGAAGAGAAGGCTCCAGGGTGATCTTATAGCAGCTTTCCAGTACCTAAAGGGGCTACAAGAAAGCTGAAGAGGGACTTTGGACAAGGGTGTGTAGTGACAGGACAATGGGCAATGGCTTTAAACTGAAAGAGGCAGATTTAGATTAGATCTAAGGAAGAAATTCTTCCCTCTGAGGGTGGTGAGGCACTGGAACAGGGTGCCCAGAGAAGCTGTGGCTGCCCCATCCCTGGAAGTGTTCAAGGCCAGGTTGGATGAGGCTTTGGGCAACCCGGTGTAGTGGAAGGTGTCCCTGCCCTTGGCAGGGGCGTTGGAGCTAGATGATCTTTGAGGTCCCTTCCAACCCAAACCATTCCATGATTCTATGAGGGCTTCTAGCAAGGAGCTGGCAGTGTCTTCCTTTCTAGCCAAATAATGAGTTATCTTCCATGCAAGAGACAGTAAGAGAGAGGAGCCTTTTCTGAACAGTGTGTGACTGAAAAGGCAGCAATTCCGACAACCAGTATCATGTTTTTCAGTCATGCGTAAGCAGGAGGAGTTAAGGAGAGATCTGCAGGGAGAAAACAAAGGTGGAGCTGTGAATATCACCAGCCTGGCATACTGCCCAGCCTGGTGTGTGCCTGCTGCTGCCTCACAGGCTTCGTGAGCAGCATCTCACCTTCTCATCACCTGTTCCTCTGCAACTCGTTCAGCACCTGCACCCAGTCATCTGTATTTCACCAAGCGTGAATTCGTGGATCAGTTCAGGCCAAAGATATGGGAACACCACTGAATTTTGATAGCACGCCCAAGGCTGAAATGTCACTAATTAAGTGGCCCTTTTTGAACAGATCACCTGGGATCACCTGGTTTAAAGCATTGTATAACTTTTATTGGTTTTATTTTTAAAATGTTATGTTTTATCTGTGTGTCCTGGGCAGAGCTGAATAATATTTTTGAGAAACAAAATATTAACATTGCTGTTCTGCTGATTTACAAATAGTTTCTTACTCAAAATTCCTGTGAGTATTTCCCCTCTACTGCTTCTTGTGCAATATGAGACTTTTCAGATTGTCAGCAAGAACTTGAAGGAGACTTTTATTTCACAACCAGGCGTCTGACTGTCCCGAGGTTAGCTGGCAGTTCCCCCAGGATTTCAGTCTAGAAAGAGATACCTTTTTAGGCAACACGTTTGGTTTTGGTTCCTGTGAATGATTGTTTGCTCCAGGAGCCACGAAGCATATAAGAAGAGCCAGAGTAAAGAGGGCACTTGAGTTTCCTACCTGATACCCAAGGCAAATGCGACACAGAGATTCGACAAAGAGCAGTGGTTTCACTAATGAAAGGTTTCAAACCCATTTCCAAGCCAAATCCTGCTTTGGTAAGTCTGTGTTGAAAATGCCAAACATTAAACTCAGGCCTGTCTGTTAACATGGTGCAGCAGTGTCCGTACGACAGCCACTGTTGGGTGGTCCCTTAGGATGGTGTGGCAATGCATTGAAACCAGCACTTAACTGATGGTCTGAGGCCTGCTGTTAAAGCAAGCTATTTATTATCCCTTTTAATTCCTCTCCGATTTGAGACTAAGCTAAAATCAAATGTTTGTTACAGTCAGCAAGCATCATAGCGACTGTTTGTTAGATAAGCAACTAGCAGACAGGGTCTGTCTAACTCCTTATTGACATTGTGGGTCAGCTTGTCCTGCCAGTCTCAATTTGCCTTCAGTTATAAACAGGTCAGAGCATGAACCACATCATCTTCATATATCATCATATATAGGATATATCGTGTGTATGTTACATATATAACACATAATACATAAGCAGCAGAATATCCTGGGCTGCATCAAAAGAACTGTGGTCGAGGGAGGTGATTCTCCCCCTCTGCTCTGGTGAAACCCACCCTGGGGTACTGTGTGCAACTCTGGAGTCCTCTGTGCAAGAAAGGCATGGACCTGCCAGAGTGGGGCCAGAGGAGGCCACGAAGATGATCCAAGGGCTGGAGCACCTCTGCTATGGAGACAGGCTGAGAGAGTTGGGGCTGTTCAGCCTGGAGAAGGGAAGGCTCCGGGGAGACCTTCCAGTACCTAAAGGGGCTACAAGAAAGCTGGAGAGGGGCTTTTTACCACGGCTGGTAGTGCTAGGACAAGGGGCAGTGGCTTTAAACTGAAAAGAGAGTGGATTTGGATTGGACATAAGGAAGACATTTTATTGTGAGAATGGTGAGATACTGGACCAGGTTGCCCAGAGAAGTTGTGGCTGCTCCATCCCTGGAAGTATTCAAAGTCAGGCTTTGAGCAACCTGATCTAGCGGAAGATGTCCCTCCCTCCAGAAGGGGAGTTGAACTGAATGCTCTCTCCAACTCAAACCATCCTATGATACGTGATTTATAGCTTAGCTCTGTGTTATCCATCACAGCAGGAGCAGCAGAAAGATGCAGGCAATTCCCTAATGTCCATTTTGTGGGAAAAGTGATCTGTGCAAGTGTTTTGGGATGAGTTGGGCTGAAAAGGGCATATAACTAGGAAGTAACTCTTTTGGGGGCAGGTGTTTCCAAATGCCTTGCAGAACTTGAGATTTTAGGGATTTTCAGGTAGAAGTGGAAGTTCCAGGTCATGTGCTGATCTCATGGAAGCTCTTATTTATCCCACTCAAATGTTAGATTTCTGTAGCCTGGCCTTTCTAACACCTTCATGCCTCAGCTCCAGTCTCAGGGATCAGCCCATTCACAGAGTTCTTCCTTGTTAAGCTCCTGCCTGAACTCACCAAAAGTATAGTCATTTCATCCTCATGTTTTTTGTGTGTTTTGTGTTGTTTTTTGGTTTTTTTTTAATTTCCTTCTGTCAATTGTCTCACTCAGAAAAGTTCTGGAAGAAAGGATTTGGACCCATCTTTTTCTATACTGGCAATGAAGGTGACATCTGGACTTTTGCTCAGAACTCTGACTTCATATTTGAATTAGCAGCAGAAGAGCAAGCACTTGTGATCTTTGCTGAGCATGTGAGTATTTCAGTCATTATGCAGACTATAGAGTCTTGTCCTGTTCAGTATTACTGAATTCAGCTTTCTGCAGGTCTGGAAAAAGAATAACATCTCTTGCCATGAATAATAGAATCATGGAATGGTTTGGGTTGGAAGGGACCTCAAAGATCATCCAGTTCCAACC